GAATGTATAATGTCTGCCATAGCCAGGGAGGTCAGAACACAGTAATCACTGATCTGACGTATATTTAACCTGCACTGATTGGGTTCACACTAGCTGCAATGAAATGCAGATGGGAATCTCTCTGCAACATAGACAAACTTCCTCAGCTACCAACTTCAGCACGGATTGGATTCTGCTCCTTTGCCCTTTCTTCTCCTTGACATTCTGCAAGAGCAGCATTTTTGTGGTATTTGGTTAGAAAATGCTGGAAGGGCACTAAATCTTGCTCCTGTTTTGAAGACATTGTAATTCTTAGGTGAAATACATGTTTGAAAAGTGTGTGTGTTACTCTTGTTAAAATGAAGATACTGTGGGCCCCTTCCTTCCAAACCAGTGCTAGAATCACTAGTTAAATGCATTTAACTGACAAGTAACTTGGCTTCCAACTCAGCATTCCCTGCTCATGCTTCTTATTTATCAAAGCATTTAAGAAATCTTTGGGGGTTTTAGTATGTGGGCTGAGTAAGACTCTTCACATCTGAGTGTGTCCTTAAGTGCTTTGGTAAAGCAAGGCAGCTCAATGTGCTGCTGCTGTGACTTTTGTTAGCTTCTGGCTTTCCAGAGTTCCTTTAAAGTTTGAATTTGTTCAGCTAGAGTTTACATGTAAAATGTGTTGGCCAACATGCCAACCATAATAATGATATTCACCATTGTTCTTCATCCAAATTAATGGGCTTCCAAATTCAGAGTCTTGTGAAGCTAAATGAGGTGTGTGTCTTGTCTTGGTGATGGTAGCTTAACATATTGAAAGAGCAGCTTTTGGGTACCTACAGGCGAGCCACACTAATTATCAGGGCACTTTTGTAAACATGAAAACAAGCTTTTAATGCTGTGAAGTTTTATTGCTTAGTCCACTGCACTGGTTTCTAAAGGTGTAGCTGGATGTGCAGTAGGAAATGCTGATGAAATGACAGTCTTGCTGTTGAGAAGTTCATTTAAACACCAAGCAAATGTAACATTAATAACTAAGGAATCTTTAGCAAATTTTTAGAAAGTGTTTTAAAGTGGTGCATTGAGTATACTTAAGAATAAAAGTAGAATTGTCAGAAGTTCAAACTTCCTTGTACTTCATTTAGTGTTTTTCTTTAGACCTGCTCTTAGAAATGGACAGGTTTGCATTGCTTTAATCCTACGTGAAGTTCACACGTTGAACTCCTAAAGATCTGCTGAATTAAAGAGGTTCTTAAGAACCTCTTTGCAAAGGAAACGTGTACCTTATCTGCAAAAAAATCTTGCTGTTTGTTTAGAAGGGAAATAAACTGGGTTTATGGTAAGAGGATGAAAAGTGTAATTAAAGACTGTTTCCAAACAGGTTGAGAGAACACAAACTGGGCAAAGACAGCACCCTGAGTGCCTTGCCACAAGCCTATTTAGGATTGCCTGGACCTCTTGAGGACTTGGAAAAAGCTGTCAACAAAACTGTGTTGTGCTACTGTAAAAATTCTGGTGAAATGGGGAAGCCACAGTTGCCTGTCAGAATGGAGGAGCAAACCAAGACTTTGCTCTCTGGTTCCCAGTCTCCCCAGGGACCAGTGGAGAGCCCAGGCTGAGGCTGCACCTTCCAGCACACACGGTCCTGCTCAGAAAGGTGTGCAAGCCCAGTAAGGCAAAGCTTCCCTACCTTGCTCAGAAAAATGCTCCCAAGCACAATTTATAACCCTCAGTTCCTCTTTTTTTCTCCCCTTACTTGCTTCAAGAAAACCAGATGACCAGAGAAGGATGTTGAGTGAAAACATGTGCAGGGCTTTGCATTTGCAGGTCCCTCAGTTTTACTTTAACACTCGGGAGCTTTCAGCATGCTCTGTGTGAGCATACATGTCCCTCAATAGGCTAAATGGGTTTTTTATACACTCAGTTCTCTTAAGGACGAAGTATTTACAGTTTTCACAAGTATATTAAGTTTTGTTAGAATTGGGACAAAGAATAAATTTTCCATTTATTATACCCCCAGACAGAGCAGTTGTCAGAGCTTAACTTTTCTCTCTGCTTGCTGTGGCAGTAAATAGTAAAGGCTTTCTTTTAAAGATGAGTCTGTAAACTGCAGCGTTAGCATTACAATGATTTATGTAGAAAATTGCTTTAGCACTGTCAGAGGCCTTCAGAGAATAATGTGGCAGTCTGTCTTTTTTTCTTTAAAAAAGAAAACAGAAAAATCCAAGAAACAGAAGGAAGCAAGATGTCTGTTGGAAACCTGGTTATGAGAAAGCTGGTTCTTCCTGCTGGGTCCTTCCCAGGTCTGGTGGATACAGGAGTATGACTCTCCCAGAGGCCCTGAGGTTTGGGAACAAACCTCATCTTCTCAGACTTCAAATTCTTCTGGGTTATTTCTACCATTTCTCTGAAAGCTCTTAAAATGATGCCTGAAGGGATTAGGAAACCATGTTTATCTATAGGTGTAATGATTTTCAGAGAGCCAAATCTTGAGACTGTTCAAACACTGGATCTTAACTTTGGGGTCCATTATTTTTTTTCTTTTATTACTTATTATTCCATTACCTCTAAGTAATGAACAAAATATGAAGCGATTTCTCTTAGCATTGAAAAAGTACAATTAAGTCAGTTTCAAGATGGTAGTTTTGTTTGTGTTGCCCCTTTCAGTAACATGACCTGAAATACCTTATACAAAGGTGAGCTTAAAAAGAAAAACATCCATTAGGAGTATGTTTTCCTTGTATTTATTGAACCATTTTAAGGTTTTTGTTCCCTTTTTTACTTTAGACTACACTTATCCATATAAATTCTCAGATCCAGACTCTAACAAGGTACTTTTTAGTTCTGTCCACCATAACAAGTCCCCCTTTTTTGGGGGGGGGATTTTTTTGCTACTGCTTTTGGGTTTTTGTTCTTTCTGTTGATGTTTTTGGGTTGGTTTTTTTTTTT